ATACAGGTAGAATACTGTATACATAATAAATAAAAAAAATCCACTTGAAATGAAGAACCCGAAGCCCAGAGGGAATAAGGCCTGACTCAAAACTAATCCAACCTTGAATCTAAGTGGTCCTGACCTTTCACAAAAGTGATGGTGGCATCCACTCTACTGTAGATGGAGTTTTCTGTCCCACCTGGTTCCACCACCCTTCAGTACCAAATAAACACACAGAGGCTTCTATTAATGGCTTCTATTAATTATAAACTGTTTGGCTGGTGGCTTAGGCTTCTTATTAGCTAGGTCTCTCTTAATTATTAATACATAACTATTCTGTTTTGTTTATTGGTTTTTGTTTTCCAAGACAGGGTTTCTCTATGGCTTTGGAGGCTGTCCTGGAACAAGCTCTTGTAGACCACCTGCCTCTGCCTCCCGAGTGCTGGGACTAAAGGCATGTGCCACCACCACCACCCGACCTAACCTGTGTATTTCTACATGGCCTTATCTTACTGGAGAATGTCTGGTATCCTATCTTCCCAGCAGCTACACGGCATCTGCCTGGTGGCTCCTGTGTCCTCTCCCCAGAATTGTCCTCCTCATCTGGTAGCCCTGCCTATACTTTCTCCTGGCTACTAAGCCAACCAGTGTTTTACTCATCAACCAATAAGAGGAATATATATTCATAGCATACAGGACATCCCCCATCGATCCACTCTCTTGTCTCGTCTTGTCGTGTCTGATCTTTTATATGTCCGAAGTAGCCCAGGCTGGCCTCAAAGCCGCTGTGTATCTGTCTTTAGTTACCCTTGATCCCTCCCCCTGCTTCTACCTTCTGAGTTCTGGTATTACAGGAATCCAACCTCCAAACACTTCCACCATTTATATAACAGATGTGCGTGTTGGGTATTACTAATATACAGGAGATTTTTGTTGTTGATTTGATACTGGATCTATGTAGTTCAGGCTGCCTTGGAACTCACCATGTAGACCAGGCTATGGTCAAACTCAGAGATCCACCTGCCTCTGCCTTGTGCTGGGATTAAGGGTATGTTACACTGGCTAGTGTTCTTTAAAATAGTGATGGCATAGGCCTTTGATCCCAGCACTCAGGCAGCAGAGGTAAGCTTGTTGTCCCTTTTTTTCCCCCCTATTTTATGTGCATGTATGTCTGTGTGAGGGTGTCAGGTCCTCTAGAACTGGAGTTACAGACAGTTGTAAACTGCTATTTGGGTGCTGGGAATTGAACACTGTTCCTCTGGAAGAGCAGCCAGAGTTCTTAACTGCTGAGCCATTTCTCCAGTCCTTTGTTGACTTCTTTAAAAATAAGTTATTAGCAAGCAGGGATGCAGGCCTGTAATTCCAGTGCTCAGGAGGCCGAGATGGGAAGATCCTGAATTTAAACCCAGCCAGAGTGATACAGACCATGTCTCAGAAATATAAATAAAAATAAGGATTATTTCCCGGGTGGTAGTGGTCCATACCCTTAATCCCAGAACTCAGAAGGCAGAAGCAGGCCATCTCTGTGAATTTGAGGTCAGCTTGGTCTACAGAGCTAGTTCCAGGCCAGTCAGGGCTAGACAAAACCTGTCTTAAAAGAAAGAAAGAAAGAAGAAAGAAGCAATAGCACTGCATTTGATCCTCCAGCAGCAATTTATTGTTGTTCTTAAAGACTCAGAGATTCAGCCTCAGGCCTGAGGTCCTAATGGTGAAATGATGAAAGCAAACTTCCCTCCCAGGACACATGGTTCTGAGCCTAGATAGGTCCACCCTACAGTTGCCCCCCAGGATACATGGCTCCGAGCCTAGGTAGGTTCACCCTACAATTGCCCCCCAGGACACATGGCTCCGAGCCTAGGTAGGTTCACCCTACAGTTGCCCTCTAGCTCCCCTCATCCCCTGCGTGGTTTTGAGAACTCAGAATTCATTTGCCAGGTCTTGGAACCTTGAGGCTAGTTTCATCCACCCCCAGGTTTGAAAGAAGCTAGCTCCCTTCCCCACCCCCAGGCCCTCCTTCTCCCCTCCCCTCCCCACTCCCTATCTCCTCTGCCTCCAAGTTCAAAAGCAGCCGAGCTCAAAAAGGCCTGCAGCTAGCCCAGAGCTCACTTCTCACAGCTGCTACCAGAGCCCGGAAAGGTCCAGGATGAACAGCTTCCTCCTCCTCGTGACCATCAGTCTCCTGGTTGCAGTTCAGGTAAGGACAGTTCTTAGTCCCTGCTTCCATCACCAGCCTTCCCCTGATGAACTGGGTTGGGGTCAGGGAGGGAATGTAAGTTTCTGGGACAGCCAGACTTTGACTACAGTGACAGAGGTAGATGGTCACCAACAGGAAACCTGGGATACAGAAGGGCCTGTATGCCTGGGTTCCCACTGCTCTTAGCGGCCATCAGACTGCCCTGAGGGAATCCCATGGTCCCAAATGGGGAAACCTCATAGGGAGTCAGATACATGGAGGCAATCAAAGGGTTTTGTGCAATTCTGGATCATGAAGCCTGGAGAGAAAGCTCTGTGGAGGAGAGCTGCAGAAACAGTCCTTTTGGTAGGGGTGAGCAGATGTCTAACGGACTGCCATAGGTGGCAGGGGTTCCCTGCACCTGCTATAGAGAAGCCTGAGTGTGTGGGAATCCCAATCACTCTCTAAACCAACTGCCCCTCTAGGAGGCAGTCTTTGTGGCACCCATGTGCCCACAGGGACCTGATTAATACAGGAATGGAGCCATCAAGTTTTTGATCAAGAACATCTCGTTCAAGTATCAAGGGCAATTTGACTGCCACAAAAACTAGCTCGATTCCCATCAAAAGCAGCTTCAGTTACCACTCGATCAAGCATCAAGGACAACTTGTCACATCTGGCCATTTCCACCCCACACTCTGCCAGGGACCTTTTCATTCAGCCCTGTCTAATGTCATCCTCCCAGCCATGATGGACTCTTCCTGATAAGAGGAAAAATTCCCAACTGGAGTACCACAAACCCAAAAGTACTCCCACGTTTCTGGGAGGGGAGCCCTTTCCTCAGGTTCAGAAGGTCGAGGATGGGCTTCTGCTAACCTCTGTGCTAGAAGACCTGGTGGCCTGAAAAGTGACAGGAAATTTCTGTAGGGTGGAAACATGACAGAGAGAGAGATAGCTTTATCACAGCCTGTGATGAGGCAAGAAGCCAAACATTCCAACAGGGCCTATGGCAGAAGCTTTATGAAGGCCTAGAGTGGGGGAAAGGCATGAAGGGGAATGAGTTCTTAACATGAGGTTCAAATCCTGAGCACTGCAATTCTCTTGCAGATACAAACAGGAGTCTTGGGAGACAATGGTACCAAGGCGAGCCCCACTACTGCTAGTGGTTCCCGCACCACCCTCGTCACCACCAAAAAAACCCCTGGGAAACCCCCAAAGAGTGGGGCCTCATCACTCGTCGATGTGGGTGCCTGCAGTTTCTTCTTTTTCACCAATACCTTAATGAGCCTCTTCTACCTTGGCTGAGGTGATGATGCTACTTCTACAGCCCTATGCTCCTCAAACAACTGCCACCATCAGTAGCAAGACACCCCAGCCCAGTCCTTGGAAATGGTTGACACCAGAGATCCCAGGAAGTTAAAATTGACAGCCAGTGGCCAAAATGGGGAGGTGCTTGCTGATGGAAGGGGGTACCCAGCTGGGGCTCAATAAAGTTATACTTATGCTTAGATGGGACCCCACATGTGGTCACTGGTCATTACTGATCCCAGGAGTCATGCGTGCATAGCATTAGGAGCTGTCTGTGACCATGTGCAGGGGAGGTGGCATCAAGGCACTTCCCCCAGGTTCCCTACCTTAGAGTCTTCTTGCAGAGACAAGGACAGGAAACTGTCACCCTCATTGCCACCATTAGTTGTATTTGCTTCACTTGTGCCCAAGTATTTGGGAGTGATGAACCCAGTTCTTACCCCCCCAATCCAACACCTCTCAGGCTCTCGACACCTCAGGTTCAGGCAGTCTCCCACTCTACGACTTAGGTGTCTTCATAATGACAGATGTGGGGAAATCACAGATAGTTTGGCTCTGTCTCTCTCAAAACTCTCAGCTGGAGTACTGCAGACCCAGAAGCACCCCCTATCTGTAAGGGTTCACCAAAGGGCATCTCATGAGTCACCTGCCTACATATCTTCTATCACGAGGCTACAGGACAAGGAGGCAAGTGGTACTACCCACACCCACAGCCAGGGAAGGCAGGAAGGACAAACAGCTCCTCTAACCACTCTCCCCTCCACAGCTTGGGCTGGTGTTTGGAGCTGCAAAGTGAGAAAAAAAAAAAAAGCCCAGACTGGTCCCCAAGAGCCCCTGCCTCTGTGTCTTCCCAGGAATCTGTGCCAGCAGAGGACTGGAAAGCAAAAAAAGCTCTAGGTCTCTGATAGCCTGACCTGTCACCTAGCTAGGGTCCCAGCCCCTTCTGGCTTTTTGGACTAAGGCCAAACCTTCAGGCTTTGAGACTAGAGTTAGAAGAAGCAGAGAGGAGCCCCAGGACAAGGCTTCTTGGACTGTAGAACCCCTCATCTCCCTTGCCATGCCCACTGTGGGTTCACAGCCTGAACCTTGAAGTTTTCACCCTAGGACACATCTGTATTCCTAGAACATTTTCCTCTGCTTCCTTTATCTGGCCTGGCCAACTCCTTCCCTTCCCACTAGGGGTGTCGGCTAGGGGTGACTCTTCAGGCGGGGCAGCCCTCCACTTCTGCTCCCTGAACACCCATCAGAAATCTGTATGGGGATGGAAAACGGGGGCTTTGTGCCAGGCCCCCACAGTCAGGGAGGCAGAACAGGCAGCACACCAATTAGTTAGTCTGGTTCTGGGGCTCCCTCTGGTGACAAGGGTAGGCTGCACAAGGAGAGAAGCCAACCTGAAGAGGAGCCAGAAGTTTGGCAACCGCAACCATCTCCCTCCCAAGGCAAGGTGCAAAGAGATGATGACACCCAGCAGCGTGATAGAAAATAGCTTATGTTACAACAAAAATCTGTAAAAAAACAAACAAAACAAAAAACAAAAAAACATTTCATCCCAGCAAAAGCATCCAGCAGGAAACTGGGGGTGAAGTTGGTTCAGAGTATGTGGACAGTCCAGATCTGGGAGGGCCTGTCTTTGGTTGGTTCCCATAGCACCACGTGGTCCCGGTCATAACCTCTGCCACCTGAGGGTGAGATCCAGACATGGTCAGGGTGAGGAGACAGCAATGTCCCCAGTCCCCTTGGGTGCCCTTCCCCACCACACAGCCTATGTTACCCTTCACGTCGAGGATCTGGCCTTCAAACATCTGGCTGCAGATGTGACCCAATTCACTGATGCTCCAAGTTTGGCGTGGTAGGCGGCTCTCAGCCCACAGCACTACTTTGGAGCCTGGGCTAGGAGGTCCAATCACCTGTAGGCTCATTGCAGGGGCCATCTGAGGCCCCAGAAGATCATTAGACATTGCATTCCCTACAGGAAATCTCCCATGCTTAAGCCATCCCTTAGACACTGGATTTTTGTGTTTGTTTTATCTTTGAGACAGAGTCTCATTATGTAGCCTTGACTAGCCTACTGGCCTTGAAATCATAGATATCCAACTGCTTCTGCCTCTTGAGTGCTGAGACTAAAAATGTGCACCGCCATGCCCAGCTCATAAGTTGGTTTTGAATGCTGGCTATTACAACTGTGGCCTAGGCAAGTCTCTTTATCCTTTTTTAGGTTTATTTATTTTATGAGTGTTTTTTTCTAAATGTCTGTGTGTGCATCATATATATGCCTGGTGCCCACAGAGGTCAGGAGAGGGCATCAAATCCCCTGGAAATGGAGTTAGGGATGGCTATAAGGCATCATTTTTGTGCTGGGAACTGAACCCAGGTCCTCTACAAAAACAAGAGCTTTTAACTGCTGTGTCATTTCTCCAGCTCCAAATACTAGTTTTTGGAAGGGTTAACATAAAAGAGGTAGCATTCTCTACTTCCTCCATGCATCTTGAATCTAATTGGGCTGGGACTTCCCAAAGTAGTGTGGCAAACCAGGAGCTCAGCAGAACCGGCTTGCTCCAGAACCATACCTGGTTTTTCAGCAGTCCATCTTCATAGTACCAGATGCAGCTGCCCCCGGCTTGGGGCTCAGAGACCACCACACGGCCTGCTTTCATGTCCTCCACTCGATCAGGCACTGCCAGGAATCCCCCTAGCGCCGCATTCCAGAGGCGGAAATATGCTCGGCGCTGATGATGAGGAGAAGCTGAGAGTCTGCAGCCAGGGATGCCACCGCCCTCAACCCTGGGCCCTCTAGGGGACCCATACCCCCAAACCCTCCTTGCCTCCAAGCTTTTCCCAACCCTGCTCTAAGTCACACCTTTTTTACACACCCGTACTGAAGGTCCATGCATAACACATGTGCACAGTTCTGTGACCATAGATACCTACACTTGTATCTAGGGACCCTGGCAAATATACCCACAGTCCACAAGGTGGCACCGTTTACAGAAGGCACAAACAATTCCACAGGTCCATGCAGTCATCACATTCACACATCAGAATTGACACACAGATCCTTCCAGCCTGTTTAGTGCCAAGTACCTATGCTTGCTCCAGATACAGCTGATGGTAAGAATATAGATGTACACACACACACATGCACACTTATGCATGCACACACACACACAGAGACACAGACACACACACACACACACACAGATATGTATACATACATACATACATACATACATACATACATACATACATACATACATACATACATAGCTAAAGAGAAATAAAGTGACACTAGATGGCCAGAGATCAGAACTGGCTCAGCCAGCATCAGTTGTGTCCTCATTAGAGGTGACAGTGATGGAAATAATGACAAAAGTCCTATGTATCATTTTGTTTCCGACTAGAGCACTGCCGAGGATTCTGCAGTCATTATCCATCATCAGTCCTCTACAAAGTCAGGACACAAATGTTCCCCCCGCCCCCACTTCCCCATTTTATAAATGAGGAAGCAGCTAGGCATGATGTTGAACACCTTGGGAGGCAGAGGCAGGTGGATCTCTGTGAGTTTGAGGCCAGCCTGGTCTACATAGAGAGTTCCAGGCCAGCCAGAATTATACAGACATAGTGAGTCCCTGCCTTAATATATAAGTGTACACATATACAGAAAACAAGATCCCTGGAGGGACAGTGCTTGCCCAACTAAACTCCATGTTACTTCCCTGATTCTTTATCTCCCCATATGAGAGTTAGAGACATCTGCCATGACTTCTGCAAGCATCACTGCCATGACAATGACAGTCTGTGAACAGAGAGACTAAACACAAATGTGTGTGCTCAGAAGGCTTTAGGGCAGAGGCAATGAGCAGGCACACATACAAACACCCATGTCCATATACATAGAAACATACAAATCACCTCCACAGTACTCATATTCATGACCTCAAATAGGCACAATCACTCTTAGATGGGCACACATCCTCAGGCCACAGCCATATCCTAGAAATATATGTGTGCAGAAATGAAGCCAACTTCTAAACAAGCAGGTACAGACATGAACCCTCACATGCAAGCTTCATGCTTCTCAAAGCCAAGTATGCCGACTACTGGTAAGTGGTGCATGAGATAATTTTCAGTTCGGGGTGAATAAGCCTATTGTATATATTGTATGGTCCTTTAGGACAAGGACAAAGTTGCTCTGTTTTCAAGTTGATTTAGAGGAAACCACCGAGATAACAATGCAAGAAGAGGCTAAGGAGAAACTGTGATAGGAGGACACGAATGTCAAGCTTTGAAACACAGATGTACATTCAACAGACAGACACATCCATGGACAGGCACAGCCAGCGGTGCTCACGCTGACTACTACCTACCTGCTTGATGGGGTAGAGGGAGCCCACCCTCTGGGTACCGCTGAAGGTCAGCCAGTTGGTGATCTCACAGCTACCCACTAGCCACTGTCGTCCCCGGAAGTCACTGTGTTCACACACCACCCAGCTGCACCCAGCGGATGCCAGAGACACAGGGGGACACAGACAGACAGACAGACAGAGGACAAGGCACAGGTGTTAGAAAAACCTCTGCCTCCTCTTCCCTCACACTAGGATAAGGGCCCCCAGTGGGGAGGAGGAGGCTAATGAGTAGATTTGGGTTTTTTGAGGACCCAGCATCCAACAAAGCTCTGGGACCCAGAGGCCCCCAGTTCACACTGATTCCTTCTTCCTAGCCTGGAGTGGGGTCCCCAGCCCACCTCTCACCCAACCCAGCTAGGAGTCCTCCCCCACACTCACACGCCGCCTCTGACGCGCACAGACAGCACATGGTTGTTGAAGCCCTCGGCCTGAAGGCTTCGCACCTCCCTGGTCAGCTCGATCTCCTTGCCCTCGAAGCACTCCAGGCCAAAGAGGGACAAGGAAGGCTCTGAAAAGTGCTGGGGCGGGAGAAGAAGAGGTGAGGCCATGAAGCCCCCAGCGCAGGCTCTGTCCTACAATTCCAACACCTGCACTCCAGATCTGCAGGCCTCCTAGCTTCTGAGGGCATTTACTATCAGAAAGGCCCCCAGACTTCCAGTTCCAGCATGTGACAGACTGACACCAGCTCAACTCAAAGTCCTTGCTTTGAAACATTTCTTGCATATATTATTTTATTGTATTTTTGAACAGGGATCTCACTAAATTGTTCAGACTAGTCTGGGACTCACTGTAGCACAGGCCTCAGTTTCCTGAGTCCTGGGACTGCAGGTGTGCATCAATGTGCCCGGCTCTCAGATAGCTGGCACTCCTAAGAACTAATGGCCAGGGTGAAAACCTGGGGGCTCATTCGACATCACCTCAATGGTGATAACTAATAATCACATCAATTAATGACCATCCTGCTTTATCTGCGGCTCATTGCAGGCTAGGTCCTTTGTAGAACACTTGGTCGAATTACATTCTAGAAACTCAACAACCCTAAGAGGCGGATGCTATCATGATCTCTGTTTAGCAGAGACAACACTGAGGCTGAAGAGGTGAGATCGATGACTTGAAGCTCCAGATGTGTGTTCCAGACCCAGGTCTATCTTAACTTTCCCCAGATACCAGTGTATGTGGTGGTAAGGGGCTCAAGCTGTGTAGCCAGGCAGCCTGGGGCAACGCCTGCTGTCTGTTCCCAGCTGTGTGACCTGGAACACATCAGAGCGGCTCTGGGACTTAGTTTCTACATCAAAAAATGACAAAGAGCTTCACACACCCAGCGAATGTCAGCTGCTCCGATTCTGTACCAGCCGGTCACTCTCCTCCTCACCCCACACACTACCACTGCCTCAGTGTAAGCTGTCACCCAAGAACAGCACATCACCTCTATTATGGGTCACTGAGGCAGCATCCCCCTGCCTTGCCCGTCCCGCCTCTCCTCTGCAGTTGACCCTGACAGCCCTCTCTGAATGGACAAAGGCTGGCCCTGCCTCTCAGCCACTCTGTGTGTCAATGTCGTCCATGCCAGCACTATCTGTGGTCTAGATATACCACTCCACACTGCCACCCTTAGGTCCTGTGTCTAATTGAGTTTGGTGTCTCCAGGAACTATTTCAGTGAATGTTCAATGAACACCTGGTCAGTTGAGCTGGCTTAGGAGCCACAGAGTCAAGGTCACCCTGAGACTCTGGAAGTCATTGTTCAGCTACTATTTGGTATGTAAGACAGGACTCTGCCCAGGACCCTCCCTCTGCCTCTGCGGCTGTTCGGGACAGAACTCACCAAGGGAACCTTCCGGAGAGAGCCCAGGACCGTAGAGGCCAGGCAGCCCATAGCTGTGAGAGTGGGGAATTCTCCCTCTGACACAATGTGCTGGTCTGCCTCAAAGTTCTTCTCCTCAAACAGGACCCAGCTGGAAGGGAACACATAGGGGAGGTGATACCAGAGCCTTAGCTTGCCTTATACCTGCCAGGTACCAGAGAGTCCACAGTGCGTGCGGACTTGATGGTGTTCCTCTAATCCAGGAGAGATCCAGGGTAGACAAGCACTACAGCAGCCTGGACTGAGGTCAAGACTTAAGAGAGGACTTAAAGGGGAAAAAAGGAAGAAAGAAAGAGAAGAAAGAATAAAGATAAAGGATCCAGGCACAGTGGTGCACTCAGAAAAGCAAAGGCAAGCTGATCTTTGAGTTTGAAGCTAGTCTGGTCTACATAGCAAGTTCTGAGCCAGCCAGGGCTACATAGAGAAGTCCTGTCTCAATAAAGACAAACAAGGACCCGAAAGAGGTCATGCTTCCCATTGAAGGGGAATCAGGCAGTATCACACAAGTCTTTGCAGCTAATCAAATCTGCCAATGCACTATCTAGGGGTCTGTTCCAAGGTTGCCCTTCAAACACATGAAGTTACACGTGGAAAAATGTATCCATTCAGCACCGCTATAGCAAAGCTGGGGAGTGGGGCACGTGACCCATGGCCATCAGTGGGGGACTGGCTAACATTGGGCCTGGTGGCTACTTGGAAGGCTAAGGCAGGAGGAGGCTAAGGCTAAGGAGAACTTCTCAAACAAGTTCAAGAATAACCTAGGCTACTGAGTTCAAGACTAGCCTAGGCAACTTAGTAAGACTGTCTTAAAACAAAAGTAAGGCTCATTGAGATGGCTCAGTGGGTAAGCTGGACACCTGGCTTCAGTTTCTAGAACCTGCATGGTTGAGGGAGAGGGCCAACTTCTGTTCTCCATATGTGGCCTTCAGGAGGTACCTAGTTGTAGAAGAGGTTGAGAGGTTGGCACCCAGGATGGGATGAATGCCCTTTTAGAAGAGTAAGAGGGGTGTTGGGATGGCCGAGGGGTCTAAGGCAGCAGACTCAAGAAGAGACCAGAGCCCTGCTCTCTGTAGTAAGGGAAGATGCAGCAAGAAAAAAAGAACCAAAAAAAAAAAAAAAAGATTATTTTCTTCTATTTAAGCCACAGAGTTTATGACATCCTGTTAGATGAGTCTGAGCTATAACAGGAACCAGGGAAACAGTTTATGTCATTAAAACTAAGTTCCTAGCCAATTGTGCTGTTTGTGTGTGTTCTCCAAAGAGACACACTCTCTCCCCCCATGTCTTCAGCTAGATAAATTCATTTAGTCTAAAAGCCTTGAGTCGTGACTCCTGAGGTTTATCATCTGACCACAGGGCTTTGGCCATCATCCCCAAACCACTGGAACCCTCCTTTCCCAGCCTTCTTCCTCCTGCATTCCTGTGCATACTGAATTAGATCTCGTCAGGTAAAACCATTGAGGTTATTTGCATTAATCAATTAAATGAGACAAGGTCTTACTATGTAGCTCTGCCTGTCCTGTACCTCACTTTGTAGATCGGGCTGGCCTTGAACTCGGTGACTCTGCCTCCTCAAGTGCTGGAATTAAAGGTACGCACTACTATGCCTGCTTATTTGCATAAATTATAATCTTAAAAAGACTATAGGAAAAAACAACCATGGAGAATTAGGATTTGGAGATGTAACTCACTGGTAGGATGTTTGCCTATGTATGTGAGGTCCTGGGATCAACCTTTGCCCTTGCAAACAAATAAAGTGGCCCCCAAAATTAAAAATACAAGCCAGGCATTGGTGGTGCACACCTTTAATTCTGGCACTTGGGAGGCAGAAGCAGGCGGATCTCTGTGAGTTCCAAGCCAGCCTGGTCTACAGAGGGAGTTCCAGGACAGGCTCCAAAGAAATACAGAGAAACCCTATCTTGAAAAACAAAACAACAAACAAACAAACAAAAACCAAAAAATTAAAAATATATTAATCTAACTATATATGAGGTTTGTGACATTATCACAGACAAAAATGACTAATCCAGGGGGCAGATTGATGGCTCAGAGGTTGAAAGAACTGGCTGCTCTTGCAGAGGACCTGGGTTTGGTTGTCAGCACCCACATAGTGGCTCACAACTGCCTGTAACTCCAGCTCCAGGACATCTGACGCCCTCTTCTGGTCTCTACAGACACTGCATGCAAATGGTGCACACACATTAACATACAGGCAGACAAAACATTCAAACACATAAAATAAAAATAAAAATAAAAGATTATTTTACTTCTTTCAGATTTTCTTTTTCCCATGTGTTCCAGGGTGGCCTCAAACTCACAAGGCAGGCAAAGGTGATCCGAGTTCTTGCTTCTCCACGTGTTGGGATTAAAGTCATGTGTTACCATGCCCCATTTTGTCCAGTTTGTTTTTGTTGTTGTTTTGCTTTTTTGAGATTGGGTCTCAGAGCCCAGGCTGGCTTCATGGAATGCATGATTCTGCTACCTCAGCCTCTAAGTACCGGGGATTAAAGGGACGTCTAACTATATAGGCTTCAACTTTCTTTAAAAGGTAGTTTTTTTACTATTACAAAGTGTGTAGATGTAAGAGAATGCCCCAAAGACAAAAAGAAGCATAAGGAACTCCCACAGCTCTCAGTGGCTCCACTCTGGGGAGCAATAAGAGCATTATAATTTTGAAACATTTAGCATGCAGATTATAATACATTATTGGAGGCATGACCTTGTTGAAGTTAGTGTGGCCTTTTTGGAGGAAGTGTGTCACTGCAGGGTGGGCTTTGAGGTTTCAGAAGCTCAAGTCAGGCCTAGTGGCTCCCTGTCTCTTCCTGCTGCCTGCCAATCCAAATGTAGAACTCTCTGCTACCTCTCCAGAACCATGTCTGTCTGCATGCTGCCATGGTAACCGCCATGATAATACTGGACTAAACCTCTGAACTGTAAGGCAGTCCCAAGTAAATGTTTTCCTTTATAAGACTTGCTATGGTCATGGGGCCTCTTCACAGCATAGAAACCCTAACTAAAGCAGTCACTATCTATATGCCTGGTGACCTCAGAGGTCAGAAGAAGGCATTGGATACCCAGGAACTGGAGACACAGATGGTCATAAGCCACCAAGGAGGTGCTAAGAACAGAACCCATGTTCTTTACAATAGCAACAAGTGTTCTTAACCACTTCAGCTATCTCTTCAGCCCCTGTTTTTTTGTTTTGGTTTGTTTTGGTTTGGTTTTTCAAGACAGGATTTCTCTGTGGCTTTGGAGGCTGCCCTGGAACTAGCTCTTGTAGACCTCACAGATAACGGCCAGCTTCTGCCTCCCAAGTGCCTCCCAAGTGCTGGGATTAAAGGTGTGAGCCACTATGGCCCTGCCCCTGTCTTTTATCATTTTTATCATTTTTAATTATGTGTATGGGGGGGGGTATGTGCCTGAGAGGCTTCTGATCCATCTCCTGGAGCTAGAGTTACAGATGGTTGTCAGATGCCTGACGAGGTTACTGGGAATCAAACTTGGCACTCTATCTCTCCAGCCCTGAAAGTTTCTGAAATTTTGGAAGGGAGATTTTTTTTTAATGTGTGTGTGTGTGTGTGTGTGTGTGTGTGTGTGTGTGTGAGTAAGAGACGCGTGTTTGGACATGTGCATGCCACTAGGCTCATGTGAAGGTCAGAGGACATTGAGAATTGATTCTCTTCGTCCACTGTGGGAACCTGGGATTGAACTTAGGCAATCATACTCGAACTGCATTTGCTTTTATTCACTGAGCTACCAAACCAGCCTCATATTTCTTTAAAGTGCATGTATAAAATGGAACAAATTTTTTTGTTGTTGTTTAAGACAGGGTCTCATGCAGCTCAGGCCATCCTTGAGCCCCCTGTGTAACTGAACTAAGGTTAGTTTTAAATTGATCTCCCTGCCTCTACTGCCCAAATGCTGAGATTACAGGCATGTGACCTTCGCTCAGCTTGGGGTTCTTTATACTAAATATTTATTATCTACAGAGTTACATTTCATATTAAAATATTATTCTATGTGTTTTAAAGTTGACTGACTCAGGACATAACAGTTAATTTTTTTTTGTTTTTTTTTGTTTTTTTTTTTTTTTTGGTTTTTCGAGACAGGGTTTCTCTGTGGCTTTTGGAGGCTGCTCTTGATCTAGCTCTTGTAGACCAGGCTGGTCTCGAACTCACAGAGATCCGGCTGCCTCTGCCTCCCGAGTGCTGGGATTAAAGGCGTGCGCCACCAACGCCCATAACAGTTAATCTTAAGGCCGCCCCCTCCTCCTGCTCACCTGCCACCATGAACCCGGCATGACTGGGGAAGGAAGGAAGCGGGCAGAGAGGCCTGGTCATCCTCAAAGGAAATGTGGTCGCCCAGGAAGTTGGGGCCTGAGAAAAGCTGAATCTGGAGATGGAGAGGAGAAGAGGTGAGAGTGAAGTGTGTGGAGGGGGGCAGGGGGAAGGGCCAAGGGTGTGAAGATCCCACCAGACCCCTAAGAAGCCTCCTCCTCACCTTCGAGACAAAGTGAAGATCGCTCTCCCCAACCTGAAGAGAGAGAAAAACTTCAAAACCGTGGCGGCTACAAGATTCGCCTCTCCTAGATGCCCCGCCCCCAAGAACTGTGCCACACGGCTAGCCCCTCCTGCCACCAACAGGAGATGGCCCCAGTCTAAACTCACCCCTCTCCATCCTCGATGCCCCGCCCATCCGCCTCCACCCCTTCCCTCCTGGCCACGCCCGTCCTCCGGTCTGGCCAGCCTGACCCCGCCCACTGCTTGGCCCCGCCTCCGAGGCTACGCCCATCGTTCTGGCACGCACCTGCACTACCGGCTGAATGGAGCCAAGGGCGCCGTTACCGGAGCCCCAGTCGTCGCAGTTGCGGTACACACCCTTCTCCAGGATGTACTGTTCGCCGGAGAAGCCCACCTGCTCATAGGCCACCCACCTGCAAGAAGGGCGTGGCTTGGGTCGGCGAGGGCGGGGTTGGCACTGCTCCTGGGCCCGCCCTGAGCCTGGGGCGGGGATTACTCACACGCCGCTGAGCACGTGGATGGCTTGCGTGCTGGGTCCGTGCTGCGCTAGCTCCACGTCTGGCAAAGCGGAACTCACCTCCACGCAGTGCCCCTGGAAGTCCATGTCCTCAAACAGCACCACCGCCGGGTCTCCAAAGTCCTGGGTGCCCAGAGACAGGTTTCTCTCGAACACTGATGCAAACCCGTGAGAGTGCCCAGACCTCAAGGAAGCAGCCCACCCCGGGGATAGGTGTAAGGTGTACACCGGAGGGAGAGGGACTAGCTGGGGGCGGGGGGGGGGGTACCCTGCCAAGAAAAACAGGCAGAGGAGTGCAGATTCTTCCCTTAGATTGTGCTGGGGAAGTTGGAGATAGAAAGATAGCCTAATTGCTCCTGCTCACCGTCCGGATGACCCGCAGGGAAGTCAGGAACTCATCGTAGCCTCCCCAGTGTGACCAGTCAGCATATTCGCCCTCTTCCAGCAGGTACTGGTGGCCCCGGAAGCCCTCCTTCTCGTAGCCTACCCAGCTGGGGGAAGGGGAAAGATGACCCAAGATACCCACGAGTAAGATAGTCCACTCTACACCAGACAGCCTAAGTCACTCTCCACCCTCAAGGGTAAAAGCCTATAGGGACAACGCAGATAGAAGAAATCTCTTAAGTCCTCACCAGCCCCCAAGGATTCGCAGGGACCCCACAGAGGTCAGCTGGGGACCGCGGCTGGCCTCTGGCTGCCGAAGGTTGTAGATGTCTCCACTCACTTCCCAGCTCTGCCCCTGAAAACCTGGGGCCTCATATACCACAGCCTGGAAGAAAGGGGTGTCAGGGTGACAGATGTCATCTGGCTTGTCTGCTCTGATCTCCGGCCTGATTCACACACCAAAGCCAGAGTCTAGTGAGCGCATCAGGCCTGCACTCCTAGTCCCAGCTTCTGCCCCATGGGGTCCTTATCTCCCGTTCAGGCTAAAGTGGCTACCCCTCAGACACACCAAATACCCTCTGACCCAGAGTCTGTCCCCTTACCTTGGGCTCCCCTGGTTTCTCCACGCTTGGGCAGCCCTGCAAAAGAAACATGGCTGAAATGCTAGCCCAGAGGTGCTTAAAGACAGACAAGGCTGGAAACCTAGAATTTTCTTGATCTAAGACTCCTAAAAAGTACAGGCCCATATCCTACCCTGTCCCACACCTTAAGCTAATCCTGCTCTAGTCCAGTTCTCAATAGGAACTCTGGGGCACTGAGTCTCCAGTGAATTGATCTGTGGTTATTCCCCCATCTCCTGCCCACAGATGCAGGGCCACCCCACTATAGACAGAGTGGCTTGTGGGTATCCCCCACTCCTTACCAGTCTCATGGGCTTTAGTGAACCCACATTGGGGACTGATGTACCCCAGGCCTTCAAGGTAGGGTACTCTCCAGGCTCTAGGATATAGGGAGTGTCTTCAAAGAATGGCTTCGGGTATAGCAGCCACCTGGGGGGGTGGGAACAGAGAAGTTACTGAACTCCTTGGGATACAGACTTGGAATCAGTCATAAGGCAGGCTTGGAGGGGAGGAAGGGCTTTTGAGGGGGACTTGCATGAGTATACTAGAGAAGACATCCCAATCCTCTCTCCATCTAGAACAGTTTGTCCTTGGTGTCCCTTCCTGTGGCTGGCCCTAGCCAATTACACAAGGCAGTTAGAGTTCTTTGTTACACACATACCTGCTTCAAACCCCGAGTAGCTCTTATTGGCTGTGTAGGAAAGCCAAGCCACACCCAGGCTCACATCTTCCTCCCTTGGTGCCTCTATCTTCCCGGTCACTGTTATCCTCTTTATACTGACTTTTTTTTTGTAGTCTGATCCTGGGGATGGGACCCAGGACCTCATTCTTGCTGAAAGTGCACTGAATAACTCCTATCCTAGACCAAGCCTTTTTTTTTTTTTTTTTTTTTTTTTTTTTTTTTTTTTTGAGGCACAGCCCAATGTAGCCTTGAAATTCCAGCAATTGTCCTGCCTCTACTTCCCAAAGTGCTGGGATTATATGCAATGTGTCCCCTGGCTGGGCCTAAACTTCTGAAGATGTAGTTTTTTTCAGTGCTCACTTTTCACAGGCTGTTCCCTCTCCCAGACAGACTCCGCCTCCACCTCCAGTCATACAGTGAATAAATTCTTAAGCGGCCGCCAGTGTTTCTAACACAGGGATTACAGAACTGACTAAAACACACAGACTAAGACCATACCACTCTGAATGTGCCAGGTCACATCAACACAACATACAAATTGCTGTCCTCTTGTAACTTAGCTTCTCAGCTAGTTCATGTCAAATGACACACAGCGCCTCCTCCAGGAAGGCTTCTATGACTACATCTAGCTCTCCACTTCCGCTATTCAGCTGCTTTACTTTAGCATGTCCCTGCAATCCTGTGCCCACCCTTTCCAGAACATTCTGTGTGCTATTGTTGGCTGTTTACACATCTGTCCCCACCAGAAGAGTGAGCTTTTTCTTCCTGCTTGAGACAGTCTCACTATGTAGCCTTGGCTGACCTAAAACTCATAGAGATCCACCTGTCTCTGCCTCCCAAGTGCTAGGATTAAAATCATGCACCACTGAACCTGCCCCAGACTGAATGCTTCTGAGAAGGGGAACTGTCTGTCTTGTCTGATCTGTGTCCCCAGCGATTGTCAAGGGATTCCAGAATAGCCAGACTCACACTCCTGCAGAGACAGTGGCAGATGCCACCTGTAGGGGTCTCTCTAGACCTTGAGAGTCTTTCAAGTCCCCAGTCAGCATCACTTGCATGCCCTTGAGGCCCTCCTCAGAGAACAGGCTGATCCCCGGGATGCAGTAGTCCTGCGGAGGGAGAAGAGAGAACGTTTAAGTGCAAACCGCAGGCTTCTCTGACCCACTGCTTCTCAGGTCCTCCAACCTGGCAGGGTGCCCGGAGGCTTCTGGGAAAGGTCAGCTGTTTGTGTTCTCAGAAACCAGAGGTGGGCCCTCTTCAAGGTCAGCCAAACTAACCCCAGACCAAGGTTCTCAGTGGTACCTTGTGGACTTCTGAAACCCAAGACCAGAGTTCACAGAACCTGTTAGGTGTCAAGGCTGTCCTCTCTCTGGGTGGCTGGCTTCCCCCTTGCTGGAGGGGGCAAGATGGATAGCCACTTCCAGATTTTGCCTTGATGTAGTTCCGACCTCTGTCCAGACTGGCTTTTTGTTACTGTTCATGTGGGTGCTGTGTCTAGAATCTGAGCCCTTGCAGGTGCCAGGCAAGGTCTCTACCACATCTCATGCTCCAGGGTGACTTTCTTTTTTTTTAAAGGCAAGGTTTCATGTAGTCCAGGCTATCCTTGAACTCACAATGTAGCCAAATAGCCAAGGTTGACCTTAAACTCATTTACTTTTAAATTAAATGTATTTGTTTGTTTTGCAGGGAAAGAGGCACAAGCATACCACAGCATGTGTTTGTAGATCAAAGGACAACTTGCAGATATTGATTCTCTCCTTTACCAGGTGGGTCCAAGAGATCAAACTCAGGTTGTCAGGACTGATGACAAGTCACTAAGTCATCTATCTCTTCAGCCCCAACTTTTGTCTTCTTATTCCCCTGCCTCAAGCACCTGGATGCTGGGATTACAGGCATGTGGCACTATGCTTGGTTTTATGTGGTGGTGGGGAATGCAAATCAGGATCCATAGTTGCTTGCCAAGCACACCACCAAAAGAGCTACCTTCCCAGACAGCTCCTCCCACTGCATAACCAGCCTGGCCTTGGCTGCTTCATCCTGAGCAAGCCAAGCGGTGGCAGGTTTCTTTGCACTCTGGGTCTTTCTTCCTCACTGGGACCATTTTCATTTGCTCACTCATTCGTCAGGTAATAAATCATCTCCATTGTGCTAAGGCCATAGTCTACCTAACTGGGATCATTTAGTTCCTCAAAAGAAGGTCTCCATATAGAAACAGACAGGAAAGTGACACTCAACAAAGTTAAACAAACTTGCCAAGATCACACAACTTGTAAGCAAAACAGCCGAGAACAGAGAAGGGTAGTTTTTGTTTAGTGTTGCAACCCAGCACCTCCCACATGCCTGGCACACAGTAGGCGCCAACTCAGTGCTAAATGAATCAGATGGTTCCAGTACTGTGTAACCTCAGAGCTCTTGTTTGTCTCCTGTGTGTCTCATGCCCTCCTACACAGAGATGAATTTACCTTGTCTCATAATGAATTGCCCACCAGCATGTGTGCTTCCATCAGCCTCTGGCAACTACCATCCCTTTCATCCAGTTCTCAACCTTGTACTAGGTCCTCAGCTTTAGGACCTCATCACCCTTACCAGAGAGAGAACAGCCCCGGGGTCAGAGGCTCATCTCACCTAAAACACAACTAGCTGGGTGCAGTGATGCATGCCTGGAATCCCAGCACTTGGGAGGTGAAGACAGGAGGACCAGGATTTCAAGACCAACCTCTGCTTCTTGGTGAGTTTGAGGCTAGCTTACACTAACATCAGGCCTTGTCTTTAAAAGAAAAAAAAAAGTTGCCAGGCATGGTGACTCCTGCCTGTAAGCATGTAAGCACAGCACTAAGGAGGCAGAAGGTTGGTTGCAAGGCCATGGCCAGCCTAGGCTACATAGTAAATACTAGCTAAGTTTGTACTCAGTGTAAGATCCTGTTTCAAACAAAACAAAACCCACAGACAAACCACCAAGGGTCTGATGGGTCTTGTTCCTAGCATTGCTCTGCATCTCTCTAGGGGTTGACATCATTTTGTCAAATTCAGTATCAGTAGTTGATAAAGTTGTGCTATGAAAACGATACTATCCTTTTCACTTTACAAACACCAAGTTATGTTGGCTTCTCAAACCATATTTCATACACCCATATCTCAAAAATGACAAGTGTGGTGTCATACATCTGTCATCTCAGCACTTGGGAAGTTGAGGCAGGAGTATTGTGAATTTGAGACCAAACTGTTTTATCTAAGACCTGGTCTCAAGACAATAACAAAAAGAATCATATCTTAGGTGAGAAATCATGATCCTTCCAGTTTCATTATCATTTTTCCTTCTTGGAAGCTGGTTCCCAACCTGTGGGTCGCGGCAGGCACCTTGATAAATTGAATGCTCCTTTCACAAGGGTCACGTATCAGATATCCTGCCTATCAGATTTGCATTATGAGCCATAACAGTAGCAAAAGCACAATTATGGAGTAGCAACAAAAATGACTTTATGAGGAACTATGTTCCTCCACAACATGAGGAACTGTATTAAAGAGTTACAGCATTAGGAAGGTTGAGAACCACTGTGGTAGAGACTCATAAGTCCCTGGTCTGGTCTATTGCTCTCCTGGACCCTCCAAATCTGAAAGTATGTCTCTTGGAGGGAAAACCCCACCCAGTTGCCTGGCACAGAGCCTGGTACATAGTAAGGATAAGAGGAATGTCTATGGGGTTGGCAGGGTGTCTCAGCAGGTAAAGGTGCCCCTTTCCAAGCCTGATAACCAGAGTTCAAGCTCCAGGACCCACATGGAGGAAGGAGAGGACTGACCTCCTCAAGCTGTCCTGGATTCTACATTCATTCATGCTGAGGCACACACACACACACACACACACACACACAAATTAATTAATTAATAAAACTTTTAATTAAAAATATGAGAGAGGAAAATGTCTGTGAACAAGTAAATAAATAAGCTCCATCGCATGTCGCCCAGAGTGGTAGATGACTCTGGCCCATTTCCACCACTCTGACCTAATAATACTGGTCTAGCACCAGCTCACACGTCCCTAGCTTGCTTACCCCTACCTACCAATCAGCTTACTCACCCCCAAATGTCTTTCTCTCTCTCAGTGCCTCCAAGGGCCGGAACTTAGAGAGATACACAATACTGACCCCCTTCTGACCTCTGCCCCACTCTAGGTACCTGACCACTCACCCGCACAGCCCTCCTCAGGGAGCCGATGCCTCGGGTACTCCAAGTGGATGCCAGGGCTCTGAGTTCCACATCCCCTTCAGGCAGAACCAGCTTCTCACCTTGGAACTCCGGCTGTTCGTATAGTATCCAGCTGTGGACCCAGAGACCCCAGGGTCACAGGGCAGAAGGTTGCACCCAGAGTCTCTGAGTAGCTGTTAGGGCTCCTACAGGGCTCACCACCTTCCTCAGCCCTGGGTACACAACCAGGGCCCCCTCCCTGACACTCCCCACTCACCAGCCTCGTACCACCCTCACGGAGGCAACAGGGGCCCAGCCTGATGTATCTGCAATGTCTCCCCAGACCTCCCTGCTTCTGCCCTGGCAGCCAGGCTCTGAGAAGAGGGTCACCTGGGAAAAACACAGCAAGTGTCCTCAGGCCTGTCACCAGGCACTGCCCCCTGCCAGCCTCCATTTGCCCCATGTTCCTACCTTCCCAGGCCTGGTGTTCAGCTTGCCCTGGGTCTTCAGTGCCGGGCTCTGGAACAGAGAGGGTGTCAGAAATTGTATGGGGCTACCATTTCCTCACATTGCTCTTCTGAGACTCCCATATCAGGCTGCTGGCCCCCACCCCAAGGATACAGCCCACAGAGATTACCACCATTGCTCTCAGCTCCCTGGGCCTCATAACCCTGTCCTAGGAGCTGGGAAATGTTCCTTCCCCAGCTTCCAGGCAGTCAGAACTAGCAAGCCTTTTGGAATCTATACATTCCCACTATACTGTCATGGACACTGAGGCCCCAAATGACATGCATTGCAGAGTTCAACTAAGCTCAAACCCAAGACTCCTGCCTCCTGCGACCTGGCCTCCCAACACCACTCTCTTCAACCACTCAAGGGGAAGCCAGGTATCTCCCAGGCCCCTACAAGGTCTCACTCACCCACCCTTCCGGTGGCTGGGTAGGTGCTGACTTCTCTGGTGGTGGCCCTCCACTACAGAGCAGAGGCAACTGTCCAGGTACCTTCCTGACCCCTGGTGTTCCATGGAGTGGCAGAGCAGATAATTTGGACCCCAGTGGTTCCAGGGAAGGGGTACCCTTGTTGGCTGGCACCAGATTGCCAAAGAGAAGGCTGCCTCCCAGGCGAGAAGTAGGCCGGTTGCTGGGCTGAGGTTCGGGGCCTAGCACATGCTTCTTCAGCATCTCCAGAGGAGAGCAGGAGACCTTAGCAGGCTTGGGTGGGTGGGGATCCAGAGAGGGGCCGGGCCCTGCTTTCTCCTGCCTGCGCTGGAGCTTCTCATCATCACTCAGGTATGGGTTCTCCAGCTCCTCCTCCTCCTCTTCCAATGCAGGTCCCTCCTGGGGACTGGGTCTTGGAATAGATGGCCCCAGCTGATCCTCCTCAATGGGGGGCAGCGTTGCATACATGGCCAGGTAGGAGGAGCGGGGGGCTCGGGGCAATCGGTGAGTTCGAAGGATCTCAGGGGGCTCCATGCTCCGCAAAGTATCCAGGAAAATCTCCAGGTCAGCAGTCAGGGCTACTTCATCCTCCTCCCTAGATGGCTCTGAGGTCACATCCCCCTCAGTGGAGTCTGGGATAAGCTGGGACTCCGTGCTGGGCTCTGCCCCCACTGGTTTTGCGGCAGGAGAGCCTTCTAGACTGAGGGACACTTTGACCTCTGAAGAGGGTGGACCAAGGGGCATGGCAGGGCTCTGGGAACCTATGTTTAGGGCAGGTGATGAGAAAGAGTTCCCGTGAGAATCCTGAATAGCCTTATCCTGTTTGGGGGTCAGGAGAGCAGGGACAGTGGGGCCTTCAACAGTCTCTTTCCAAGAAAGGGAATGGGAAGTGCTATCTTGAGGATCCTGGCCATCCTCCTTCTTGATGGAAGGACCTCCTTCCATACCCTGGACAACTTTGGTTGGCCTGGAGGATGGGGCAGTGGGAACACCAGCCTCTTTTGGGGTATGGGGGTGGGCAGGAACACTAGGGTCCGGAAATACCTCTTTCTGAGTAAGAACAGAAACAGGCATGTTTTCAGGGTCCTGAACAAACTTATTCTTTGGTGAAGTCAGAGCAGAAAGACCTTGTGGGCTAGGGGCAGCTTTTCTCCTTACAGAGGATGGGCTAGGAGGCTGTTCAGGTATTGTAACCCCACTCTTCACCACAGGCAGAACAGGGTCCATGGGAACAACTTCCACGGGGGGCAGGACATGAGGCATGGGCTGGGCTTTGAGGTATGTGGGTACCACTGGCTGCTCTGGAGGATGGATCAGGGAGGAGGCACGGGCCTGGGGCTTGGGAGAAGGGGATGCTGGCACATGGTTCTGAGAGGCCTGGTTGGAGAGCAGAACAGGACTGGAGGCTCCCTGCAGCCTTGAAGGTTCCCCAGTCCTGGCATCTGAGACACTGCCTTGGTCTCGGACTGGGTGGGCTACTGGGACATCTAGATTCCGAGTGGGGTGACCATCCACAGGGATGCCTCCTGGAGCCAGGGTTGAGCTGTTCTTCAGTTCAGTTGTGCTGGTCTCAAGTAGCTGTCCCAGGGTTGTTCCCACTGTGCCACCCAGGGCTGAGCCCCTTGAAGTAAGTCCCGTGAGCCTTGGGATTCGGCTGGCAGGAGGGCTGCGCTCAGCTGGTACAAGGTTGCTCAGCAGTTCTAGGGCCTGGCTGCGGCTGGGTGAGCCCTCAGCTCTCGGGCTCACCACCACTGCCCTGACTGTTCGGGTCACATTTCGGCCCCTTGGAAGGGTCTCACCTGACATCGGTGGCCCCACACTCACAGAGCTGTTCACCCTGCGGTCCATTTGCCCGCCCACCACCGTCGTGGTCGTAGTCCTCACTGTGCGTGTCACTCGCCATTCCTCACGGTTCCTGGAAACCCCACTTGTGACACTCACACTGGGATGGGGACTTGGTTCACGTGGCCCAGGCAAGGGCACCAATAACTCAGTCCTAGCCATGGATCCCATGCCTGGTGGGTCAGTTCTGGGAACCTGGGGACCACCATCACCCCAATCTACAGCCTCCTGCAGCCTCACCACTGGCCTTTTCTCCTTGGGGGGTGGAATGTATTTCTTGGAAAAGATGGGCCCATGGCTCTGAAAGTTCATGGGTCCAGGCTCCTCCCCAGGACCTTGGCAATTTATAGTCTCGTCTTCCTTCTTAATGAAACCATTGATTTCGCGCCGGAAGCTATGCTCAAACACATCTTCCTGAGGGGCTTCCCTCCGGGCATCCGACACTAGGGATACTTTGTGGAAACGGTGTCTGGTCTCTTCCTGGACAGGCGGCCGCTGGTGCCATGTCAGTGTGGCACTTACCACTCGGGCCTCAGCTTCAGCCGGTCTCCCAGCCGTCTCTTCCATATTGGGCCCCAGCAAAACCTGAGATGTCCTTGTAGCACTGTGGCCTGGCTCCCTGAAGATGATAAAAAGGGAGAAAGGTGAGCACCAGGGAGTAGAGGAAGGGATCCCCCAAAACACAAAGCAACTACCAGGTGCAGACCGGGCTGAGTAACCTCAGGCAAGTCACATGAACTTTTGGTCTTTGTTTCTCATCTGTAAAATGGATGTGAGACTCTCTGCTCAAACTGGATAATCAGAGCCTCTTAGCTGCTCATCTCACCACTTCCAAGTGATGCCCTCTGTCCAGGTTTGGGGACCTGGACCTGAGCCCAGAAGGTGAGAGAAGAGAGGATGAGACTCCTGGCCCACTCACTGGCTTATGGAGGAAGGCTGGTTTCTCTGTATGGCTTTGGAGCCTGTCCTAGAACTCACTCTGTAGACCAGGCTGGCCTCAAACTCACAGAGATCCTCTTGCCTCTGCCTCCTGAGTGCTGGGATTAAAGGCGTGTGCTACCAAAGCCCAGCTCCTTCAAGGTTTTTTAAGAGACACTGAGGGAAAATGTTTAGCTTCAAGAAGTGCTGGGTCTCCTATATCTATTGGTCACTAGCTGGATGACCTTAGGTAGGTTACTTCTTCCATTTCAGGCCTGGAGGACTGAATTCACACTTCACAGGGCTTGTGCAGATCCAGTAGAAGAGAGAGAACACAAACCGGCTTTACAAACTAATGCTTAATGCTGGCCAGGCAGTGGTGGCTGCACACCTTTAATCCCAGCACTCAGGAGGCAGAGGCAGGCAGATCTCTCTCTCTCTCTCTCTCTCTCTCTCTCTCTCTCTCTCTCTCTCTCTCTCTCTCTCTCTCTCTCTCTCTCTCTCTCTCTCTCTCTCTCTCTCTCTCCCTCTTTCTCTCTCTCTGAGTTCAAGACCAGCCTGGTCTATAAGAGCTAGCCAGGACAGTCTCCAAAGCCACAGAGAAGCCCTGTCTCAAAAAAAAACAAAACAAAAAAAGGATGAATTTTTTTGATAGTTTTTTTTTCTTTTTCTTTTCTTTCTTTTTTTTTTTTTTGTTTTTCGAGACAGGGTTTCTCTGTGTAGTTTTGGAGGCTATCCTGGCACTCCCTCTGGAGACCAGACTGGCCTCGAACTCACAGAGATCCGCTGTCTCTGTCTCCTGAGTGCTGGGATTAAAGGCATGCGCCACCAATGCCTGGCGAAAAATTATTTTTTAAAAAGAATAAATCATAGCCGAGTGGTGGTGGCAAACACCTTTAATCCCAGCACTCAGGAGGCAGAGGCAGGGGGATCTCTGTGAGTTTGAGGCCAGCCTGGTCTACAAAGCTACATAGAGAAACCCTGCCTTGAAAAATTAAAAAAAAAAAAAAATCATTACTATAAACAAGCATTTCTATTTTGCCAGTGAGACTTAAAGGTTCAGAGAGATGACTCTGAACAAGTCACACCTTAGCAGTGGAGACTTGCACTCCAATCCTAAGAGCTTAGCCACACTCCAAACTCACCATATGCATATATAGCTTTACATATTTATTGGTAAACCAAGTCTCTGGTTTGGTGGTTACTCTAAATTTTTTTAATATTTGTTTGTTTTATTCTTTTAAGAAGGGTCTCATTATGTAGCCTGGTTGTCCTGGAACTTACTATGTAGAGAAGTCTGGGCCTCTGTGGAACTCACAGAGATCTACCTGCCTCTGCCTCCTGAGTGCTGGGCTTAAAGGTGTGCGCCACCACTGCCAGCCTCTTTGATGTTTTGAGATAGTATCTTGCTATGTAACTTGATTGGCCTGGTAGTGGTGGCCTCCAACTCAGACAGACCCATCTTCTCAGCTTCCCAAGCCAAGTGCAGGAATTATATGCTTGTAATTCATGGCTGACTGGGGGTTGCTCTGAGGTTTGTTTGTTTGTTTGAGACAGGGCCTCATGTAGATGAGTCTAGCTTTGAACACCCTATGTTGCCAAAGAGCAACTTGAAGGAGCTGGGCTTTGGTGGTACACGCCTTTAATCCCAGCACTCAGGAGGTAGAGGCAGGCGGATCCCTTTCCTAAGTTACATTCAGTGAGTGAGCATGCATGCTAGCATGAGAGCATGTGTGCCTCTGTGTGTGTGTGTGTGTGTGTGTGTGTGTGTGTGTCCCACAATGTGCAAAAGGAGGTCAGAAAATAACCCGTGAGAGTCAGTTCTCTCCTTGTACCACGTGGGGTTGGGGAGACTGAACTCAGGTTGTCAGACTTGACAGATGACCACCTATGTCCACTTAACCATCTCCCTGGCTTGACCCTGAACTTCTAGTTCTTTTGCCTCTACCCACTCTGAGCGGTAGGATTATAGGCATACACCAGGACTCTGGTTTTCACAGTGCTGGAATGCCACCTAAGGTTTCATATGTGCTAGGTAAAGACTCTACCAACTGAGGTACATCCCAGCCCTGGGGTTCATGTTTAAAAGAACCCACAACAGACCTTAAGGAGCAATCCATCCTTAGCTACTTATCTCCATGCAGGACACACATGGCAAGGCTGTTTCTAGGCTTGAAGAGTCCAAAGAGGTCTGTCTGCTCACCCACTTGGGCCAGCCTATCTTCCAACCTGTACCTCATTTCCACGAGCCAGCCCCAAGAGGGCTATACTCTGAGTGAGAGACAGGCCCACTGCCCCAATTCTCTTCCCCCATCTCTACCTCCCTCCTTCCTGAGAAACGGGAAGAAACCAGAACTTTGACCTGCTCTGTGGCCCCAGCAGTGAGTGACTCAGGTTTTATGAGGGGCAGAGATAAAAGGCCCAGAGATGCCTGACTCAATCCCAGGACCACTGGTGGCTACCACAGCGCCTAGGAAAAAGCTGTGGGGCCCTTGACAGCCTGTGAACCTGGATGGGAAGGCCTAGATGAGGCCCAGGACCTCTCCAGCCAGAGTGTGTTGATAACTGACACACCTAGACACCCGAGAAAGGAACTCAGCTCCTCACAACAGCTCAACCCAACCCTCCCACCCTCTTTGAAGCATTGTCCTCTGCTGGGATTCCCCCACAGAGCTTTGTCCCTCACTCGGCTGCCTAAGTCCTTTATCACAGAGTTCCCTCTCCGTTTCTGAGTAACAGCCTCTATCTTCATCCCCCCTCCCCTCCCTTGTCGCTGATGGCAAATGGCAAAGCTTGAGTTATAACTTGCCCGTTCACTTTTTCATTCATTCAGTGCTAATTATTTGAGTGAAAAGCCAAGTGCCAGCCAGACTCACCCAAAACTAGCTTCCTTATGAAGCTGATATCCCAGGAGTCCACAGCTAAAGGATCAGATGTTTGAAAAGTCCCCTGGGCTTCGGCAAAGTCCCAGGAAAACAGTTCAAGGGAAGTTGACTGCAGTCAGCCCAGAGTCTATTGATGACCTCCCAGCAATCAGCTCCATGCCTTTCTCAGCCCAGCCCAACCCTGGGCCAACACCCCCTGATGGCCATTCATTCCTTAAGCGTGTGGTCACAGCTTCTACCTGCATACTTCTAGGGACAGGGAGGTCACCTCCTGATAGTTCACCTGTCCATCCCTGGACAGTCATGACTGCTAGAATAGTTTTCACATGTGTTGGAATGTGCCTACCTATAGCTCCCCATTTTGTCTTTGTCTGGAGACACACCCCAGTAACCTAGCTACCACCCCCGCAAACAAAAGGGCCTCTTCCCAGAGCACTCTTGTCTCAAGGGCCCGAGTCCACAAGTGGATTTGTTAGCAAGATGACCTGTGACCTCTAAACAAGGTGTGTGGGGATGGTAAGGGAGAGGCTGAGGAGGGAGGTGTGGGGGTAGTGTGGGAAAAAAATCTCATCTAACCCAACAAGTCCTGGGATTCTCTCCGCTTACCTGTGAGTCACCCCCAAACTAGGCCAAACCAGTCCACAGGCCCACATACTGCCAAACACATGCTGCATCAGACAGGTATTCACAGAGCCAAAGACCCACCTCGTCACACGGCACAAAAATGCAGACGCCCACCTAGACAAACAGCCAGGAACACACACCACCACACACATGGGCACACACCAAGAGACACAAACACACAGAGACATCCTGAGGCACAATAGGCATGCAAGCCACATGCTCCACCATGAAAACACACAGGCACCGTAGCACACATGTGCACACATCCCCAGCACACACCCATTTAGTTCACAGCCACAGACAAGCTTGCCCCTGACCAGGGATCCATACCTGGTGCATGCATAGCTTATACATTCCCACTTGCTGCCCTGGCTGGTGTCTGCCCCTTTCCCCAGATTAGTTGAGAACCCTGCAGCAGAAAATGGGTACAGAAGGGCAATGTCCCCAGGGGTCACCCTCCTTCATCTCTAAGTGGATCCTAGATTCTAGTTTCAGTCTTTATTCACCTAAGACTCCAACCAATCAGAACACAGCCCACCCTACCATTTGTTCCCTTTCTCTCTCTAAGCCTAGCTCACTTCTCGCCCCCTCATCCTTTTACAGGCTGTCTTCCCATGCTGGGGTACCCTCTCAGGGCCAGTCCGAGCTCCCATGTCGTCCTCCCTAGGCCTAGAACCAAGCACACCACCTCCTACTCAGGAGGACCCGAGTCTCCATGCCTTGGCCTCTGTTAAAAGTATTGTCAGACCCACCGTGTGCTCCACGCAGCAACCACAGGCCACGCCGAGCTCTGCACAGGCACAGAGGCCCCTTTGCAAGGCAGGTGGGTTGGTGGGGGAGGGGGTGGCTAGGGCATGGGCAAACCTGGGTTTGAATTCTGATTGTCAGGTTGGCTTTAGGCAAGTGGCTTATCCTTGCTCTGCCTCAGTTCCCCATTCTAATCAGCTGGGGGTGATGGAAAGCTTAGCCCCAATGGATTAAATGAAATTATGCTTAAAAAGACCAACCATTAATGACAGCTGCCACCACCACCAGCAGGTGCTTCTCAGAGGCCCCTTTGGTGGCCCAGGACTCTTTCCTAGTGAGGTCCCTTGTTTGTTCAGCTTCCCCCTTCTGAGCCTACCAGACCGATTTAGGAGACTCACTTCACCACAAATAAAACCTAAGCTTGGGAGTCTTGGCGCCTCTTCTCGTGGCTGCCAGCAGAGCCAGGTGGGATAATTACCACTGCCAATAGCGTGTAATTAATAAGCATCCCTGCTATTTTAGCAGCCCAGCTGAATGGGGTTCAAAGCATGTCTCCTTAGCCACCTCCTTCTTCCTCATCTCTGACTATCATACCCATTCAACAAAGCAAGACCCAGAGAGGTTAAGGAACCTGTTCCTGGGCACGCAGCACCTTGGCTGGGGAGCCCATTCCCAGGCTGGGTCTGTGATCTCTTGCAAAGAACGCAGGAATAAGAGGCCGTTGCCAAAAGGAAGGCTACCCTGACCAGCCCACCCTCTCCATGATGAGCTGTCCCCTCCTGATGGTGGGCAGGGGAGGAAAGCGGTGCTGGGTTTTAGGAGGGAGCCTGGGAGAGAGAAGCATAGAATCAGGGAGTGGACACAGCTGGCTCACAAACAAGGTACCAAATGAATGGGAGACTCGAGCCTGAGAAGCCCAGGAACAAGACAGAGGGACCCAAGCAGGAGTCACCACACCAGACTACCCTCCCGCTGTCATGTCCCCTCAGGCACCAACCGTACTTACCTGCTGTGTGGAGAACCAGGTTCCCAGCCCACTCTGAGCTCCTGCTGGGCCTCGCTTCCCTGGTGCTGTGGAACACTCATCTGTGGCTCCTCAGGCAGGTTGATTGGACACCCGGTGATGGGGCGGAGTTCCCTGGGAGGCTGCTGCCAGCCGCTGGATTCCTCAGGGCCACAGGGGTGGGGAGCTGGTCTGGCCGGTTCCTTACCTTCCTCCCCAGGTGCCTGCCCGCACCCTTGCAGGGTGACAGTGATGTGGTAGCGGGTCCTCTTGACACAGGGACGAGTACTTAGGGTTTCTGGATCTGGCTGGGTTGGCCCTGGGGTGTCCAGCTTGCCCTTTGCCCTTGCTTCTGTGAGGAAGGACACCGGGTGGGGCAGTAGGGGTGCGTCTTCTAGGTTGCCAGGTGGCTCTGACCTCAGCAGAACCTCTGAGGTTCTGTGTTGGGGGTGTTGGCAGGTGTAGCCTGGGGATCCCTGTTTCAAAGAAGGAGGAGTAGGCTCCAGGCAGGAGGGATGGCTGGGACCACCAATGGCTTCAGCAGAGCCTGCTGGTGCTGGACACTCATGCTCCATAGAGCCATAGCTGGCCAAGTCACAGGCACTGCCCACAGCTGGCCTCTGTAGCCTCCCCAGGGGTTTACTTTGTCTTCCAGAGATGTGTAGTCGCTTCTGACTACAGAAACCACCATGGCTCCTAACCTGAAGGTCCCATTCTGAATGGCTTTGGGTTTGGACCTGGTGGGAAGCAGAGACAGGGACATGGTGATGGCATCTCCCCTCTGGAATCTAGGTACCTCTGAATATTCTTGGCCAAACTCCTTGACCCACAGGAAACTGAGTAGGAGTCTCAGAACTATAAAATGAGGCAGGACCCTGGCCAAGGCCTTGTTCTCCTGTCCCACACTGGAAGAAAGTGAGGCCCGGCCGGAGAAGGCAGAGTCACACAGCAAGTGGGTGAGGACTCCTCATTCCCAGGCACTATGGGCAGGAACAGCAGCTGGGCCCAGCTATGCCTGCTCTTCCTGCAGCTTCCTCACAACGCTGTTGCTGCTTTCTCAGAGTCCCCAGCCTCTGGCCCTAATCTAGGGATTAGGGAATGTGTGGGCATACCTGGCACAACAGCACACAGCCTCTGCCTGCTCCCAGCCACCAAAAGGCCTGCAGCCACTTTCCTTAAACCCTCTCAGTCCCAAGTTCCCACAGTAGACCTGGGAGGGTGCATGTGGGCATAGAGATAAACACAGGGCATGAGGGAAGCAAGAGTGAGCCCCCTATCCTGATGCCAAGAGGGGGACAATCCCTGACCTGTCTGTTGTCCTCCCTGGGATCCAGCCTGACTGTGGTAACAAGAGGAAGAGGGTGAGGATCCCAGACCAAAATAGACACTGGCCTCACACTACCAGTTTTCAAGGATGGACTTGTGTCCTTGGCATTGGAAGAACCAAATCTAGGGACAAAAATCCCACCTAGCAGGGGCCTTTGATTCCATCATGTTGTTTGTTTCAAGACAGGGTCTCACTATGTAGCTCTGGCTGTCTGTGTAGACCAAGCTGACTTGAACTCACAGAGATCTGCCTGCCTCTGCCTCCCAAGTGCTGGGATTAAAGGCGTGGGCCTCCACTGCCCGGCTTGATTCCATCATCTTTAAGTTACGCATTTATGAAATAGATATGGCCTCTCATTCCCCAGGGGCTAGACACCCAGAGACACAGGAGCACTCAGTTACATGAAGAGGAGAAAAGCAGGGGTGGAGGAGGGTGGGGGATGAGAGGGGGTAAAAGGGGTGGGGAATGACTTGGAGGCTTGAGTGACTCTAGAGGGGAGGTGCTTGTCCCACTCATGGCTCAAGTCCCCATGGCAGAGCGGGAAGCCATCCGAAGGTCAAGCCACAGGCCCTGGGTCACACCTGTAGGTCCAGGTCAGGAAATGAAGAAGAAAAAGTCAAGAGGAATGAAGGTCAAGGGCCCTGGGGGATCAGGAGGCCCTGAAAATGGGCCCTTTGGCTCCGTGCTTCCAGCACTCCAGAGCTAGATGCACACTTTTATTTACTTTTTAAACATTTCACCTTTTTTTTTTTTTTTTTTTTTTTTTTGGTTTTTCGAGACAGGGTTTCTCTGTGTACCTTTGGAGCCTATTATAGCACTCGATCTGGAGACCAGGCTGGCCTCGAACTCTCAGAGATCCGCCTGCCTCTGCCTCCCGAGTGCTGGGATTAAAGGCATGTGTCACCAACGCCCGGCTCACATTTCACCTTCTTACTCATTGGATGTTCACTTTTGTTTATTTATTTATTTATTTATTTTTGGTTTTCGAGACAGGGTTTCTCTGTGCAGCTTTGGAGCCTATCCTGGCACTCGCTCTGGAGACCAGGCTGGCCTCGAACTCACAGAGATCCGCCTGCCTCTGCCTCCTGAGTGCTGGGATTAAAGGCATGCGCCACCAACGCCCGGCCATACTTTTATTTTTAAATTATGTTTACATCCATGTGTCTGTGTGCAGATATGTCAGGCACCCATGGAGTCCAGAAGATGGTATTGGAGACTCTGAAGGTAAAATTACAAGCAATTGTGAATCACCAGATTCGGGTTCTGGGAAGTGATGTCAGGCCTTCTGGAAGAGCAGCAAATGCTCTTAACCACTGAGCCAGCCATCTTGTCAGCACCAAATGCACACATTTTTGACACCCAGACCCTACATTGGCCTTCTGCATCAATTCCTGAACTCCTCCCCACAGCCCTGACAGAGGTGTTATTGTCTTGTCCCCTTTGGCAGAGGAGGGGAGAGATCTCCAGGGCTACATGAGGCAGAGGGAGGGCCCACAAGTCTGGGTTCCTCATCCAGCCCTCCAGAGCTCCTGCCCCTGCCCTCCTCCTCTTCAGGGTTTCTCCTACCTTGAGGCTGACATCATTGTTGCTGCCCTGATCCTGAGCAAGGTTAGGACAGCTCTGGCCGCCCCAGGGCCTGGGAAGGAAGCACAGGGGAAAAGAATAAGCAGAATTCTGCTGTCCCCACACCTGCCACTGAGTCTAGAGGCCCCTCCTGAATCTAACCCAGGGCCCAGGCTCTGCAGGATGACCCACTCAAACCTTTGGAGGAGGCCTACCAACAGCCTCATCTGCTTCCTTCCCCATTTTCCCAACACACAGACACACACAGACACAGGCTTTCTCTCTCTCCAACACACAGACACACACAGACACAGGTTGTTTCTCTCTCTCTGTCTCTCTGTCTCTCTGTCTCTCTGTCTCTCTCTCACACTCACACACACACACACACACACACACACACACACACACACAAGAGAACAGTGCCCTGATGAGTTTAGAGCTTCATGTTTACCAAGAGCCTCTGGGTGCCAGGCTTAACTCTAGGGTCTATGCCTATCTGATCACTTTCAGGCCTCAAAAATATCAGTTCCTATGTACTTTAGGTAAGAAAAACAGAGGCTCAGAGAGTCAAAGTCACTTGTTCAGAGTCACACAGCTACTGAGCCTTAGAATAAAGTTGCTGTGACCAAGCTGGGCATTGGTGATACATGCCTTTAATCCCAGCACTTGGGAGGCAGGAGGATCCCCGTGAGTTCGAGGCCAGCCTGGTCTACAGAGCAAGTGCCAGGATAGGCTCCAAAGCTACACAGAGAAACCCTGTTTCAACCTCCCCCCCCCAAAAAAAAACAAAGTTGCTGTGACCATCCTACTCCAAAGATTAAAGACTGCATTAATGGGAGAAAGATTTACAAGTGTGATAGCAGCCCTCTGTCCCTCTCCTGAGCAATCAGCAGGGATCAGAGGCCTGTGCCTCCTTCAGGGTCCTAGTCCCACGGCTGGTAAGAACGGGGTCCAATTGTATCCAGAGTGTACGTGTATCATCATGCTGGCCCTGTGTTCCCTCTCCTGTCCTCCTCACTCCTGACTCACCTGCACCCCAAGCCAGCCTCCTCCATGAGTGTGGAGGGGTGTGGGGAGAAGCTATCAGGCCTATAGGGCAGGTTTCTGCCAGACAGGGTAAGGGAGAGGGCGTGTCTTCCAGGTGGGTGTGGGCACCCTAGGGCACTCAGGCTTCCAGGCACGGAGTGGCTGGGCCCTCCCCACTTTAAGGTGAGAGAGCAATGCAAACCCCTCCCCTCTGCCCCCACCACGCCCTCATCCCTCCTGAGCCAGCAGGCCCGAAGACAGCTGCGTCATGATAAGATCTGAACAAATTGCCCAGTAACTGCATAGACGTATAAACACCCAACACCCAGCACTGTCAGCACGCCCACACACTCTGCTCAGGCAGGGCCATATGAGCTACGTGGGCCTCTGGGATCTTCACTATTCCCTCAAAGCCATCAGGCTCCGCCATCCACAGGGCAGGCTACTCATCCTTCAAACAACCTCCATGAAGGGCTCAGAGAGGCAAAGGAACTCCCTCATGCTACTCAGCCAGCAGGCTACTGTGGGTTGAGCAGCCTGCCATCATGGCTTTTCCGTCTGGCCATCTCCATAGCAACAGAGCTTTTGGAGAAGTGAGTTCAGAAGTCAGGCAGCCAAGGGGTGTGTCACAGCTTCACCACTTCCCAACTGTGTGACTTTAGGTAGGTGACTTCACTGCTCTGAAACCCAACTTCCGGGTTTGAGTCACATGGGATACATGGCTCACACCGCTCACAGAACATTCAGGGGAGGCAGGGAGCAAGGGGCATACGAAGGTCCATTGTGGGTACAGTCTAGAGCTATCTCCAGGTCCCAAGATGACAGGAGAAACCTATGTGTGGCGTCTGAGGACAAATGCAGTGCAAAGACAGCACTAGAATCTGTCAGACTCACAACAAAAGACCACAAAGGCCAGAGAAACATTGATCCGGGATGTGGGAACCAAAGTCCACAGCGTTCAGCAGAAGGAGGTACTACTGGGCAGAAAATCGTTGGTTAGCAGCTTGTCTGACAGGAAGTTATCAAAGTTGCTTTAAGTTTAAAAAAAAAAAAAAGCACAAAAACTGTGCAATGCAATGGAGCTTATTTGCAATCCCAGCACTTGGGAGCCATGGATGCTCTTATATACATGGGGATACCGTATCTTCTAAAACGGAAAAAAAAAAAAAAAAGTCCATGAAGAAATTCCACAGTTCTCAGATCCAAACCATGACACACTGTCACGTGTATTTTTGTGCTCTAAATATTCACATGCTGATTTGAACTCTCATTAAAATTTTATACACACTAGTCCCAGATGCATACCCCTAGGCCAGGGACGCCCCACCCAGCCTTTCTCCATCTCCCCTCACCTATCCCGGAGTCTGGTCTCCTTTGAGATCTTGCCCCTGCGCTCCCTTCGGCCCCTTAGTCCAGTCAAGAGCTGGGCCAGGCGAGCCCCGAAGCCTCTGCGCTGCTCTCTCATGGCGAGATCAAGGTCTGGGGCTTCAGCCGGTGGGGCACTTGGCTGCAAGTGTCACCCGGATCCTCCGTCCAGGCAGCGAAGCGCCTCCTCCGGCCCGTCCCCCTGAGCAAACAGCCGCCTGGCTCCCAAGGGCCTCGGGCGGGACCTGATCCAGATGCTGTCCTGGACCTGCAGGTGCACCTCCAGGGGACCGTGCCCAGCGCTCCCACACCGACCTCCCCTTCCCGAGCTCCTGCTCTCTACTCGGTCCGTCTTGAAACTTCACGCCTCTGGGTTTGTCGGAGGTAGATTTGTGTGAGCACTCGGGGAGTTGGACCTGAACAAAGACAAGAGGAGTCTGGGACCCGCCGGGACCGGGAGCTGGACCGAGCCTAGTAAGGTCCTGGGATTGCTACTGCACTGCATCAGGGAGGGACAGAAAGGGGCCGACGACAATCTCAACTGAGCGGGGCCTAGCCTGAGGGGTCGGCATCCCTGCACCCCAAAGGTGTGACAAAGGTGAGCTGAACCCTGATCGTTGCTGGAGGGGCGGAAGCCCACCTTGCTATCGCCTGAGGGACTCCCTAGGAGGGTCCTCTCAGTCTCGGAGCTACCTACCACGTGGAGTGGGATTGTCACTCCTTATGAAGATGAGGAAGCCACGCGAAACCAACAGAGGTGCGACTGGAGCCCTGTGAGGCAAATCGGTCAAAGAACCTCACAGTGAGCTGGGCTGGCGGTGGTGGCACACACCTTTACTCCCAGCACTCGGGAGGCAGAGGCAGGAGGATCTCTGTGAGTTCGAGACCAGCCTGGCCTACAAGAGCTAGTTCCAGGACAGCCTCCAAAGCCACAGAGAAATCTTGTCTCGAAAAAAACAAAACAACAAAGGAACCTCACAGTGGTTAAATGAGTCACTCTTTGTAGCCTTCCTTTATTGTGACTCTAACCTGATCCTTCCTCCCAGGCAGTTTGCTTCCCCACCTGATGCCGCCTGGCTCACGCGTGGAGGAAGGGAACACATGGCACATCTAAGGGGGTCCCGTGGAGACAGGTCAAAGGTTCTTTTGCTGGTTCTTCCCTGTTTGCTGTCCTAGTTGACTGGCTACCCCTTAACCTCTGGTCCTCGTACACAGGGGACGGTATGACTCTGGGTCATGAAAGGACAGGAATATGGGTGTCTCTCTTTTTTCACCCCATCCCGTGGAGGTGGCAGGATTAGTAATACCAGCTGACTGTAATCTCCGCCTTGGCTGAGTAGGAACTGAGATGGAAAGTGGTATGAGGAGCCCAGGGACAACTGGAAAGGTGTTCAGGAAGGAGGGCAAAGTGTCCTGCGTTTGGGCTGCACACAAATCAGTTCTTGCTTCATTCTCCAGGTACTTCCAGGTGCTCTTTGTCCATCAGACCAGGCAGCTAAAGTGGCTGATAATAATCAAACAGCTGCACTCCTCCTGCCTCCAGTGCCCCTCCTCCCACAAGGACACTGCCTTCATCCAGTCCTGAAAGGTAGCACTGTCCAGTGGTGCGGTGAGATGAAGGTCACAGACAAGGAGTGGAACCCAAACCCAGCCTGAGTTAGATGGCTGCATGGACCCACCCCACGTGGCTGTGTGCCCTGCTCTGCTCCCAGGTGAAGTATGGGACCTGGCAGGTGCACGGGAACACCCCTCTCCCCCGGAGATGCTCACGAAGCCTCGACTCAGCAGTGAGAGAATATTTTAATTGCCAACACTCTGTTCTCAGAGAAACCCTAACACCACTGCTCAGACTGGCTGCCCTTGATTTCCCTGGGACACCGAGGAGGACACCTTGACCTGGTCCACATCCCAGCCCATCTTCTCTGATGAAGCTCCCACAAGACCTAGCGGTCCTTGGCGCCACTGGGCAAGGCAGGTGAGAGAGGGGAGGGGTATGTGGGTGTGGGCCAGGCTATGGGGCCGTGGAGCCTGCAGCCTGTGGTGCAGCTTCAGATGGACATGCGCGGTGAAGTGACTGGAACACGCGTTGCACTGAAAGGGTTGGGTACCCGAGTGCAAGCGAAGGTGGGTCTTGAGGTTGCTGGAGCTGCTGAAGCGCTTGAAGCACGTCTGACAGGAACGAGCACTCATGTCATCCCTGCCCTCCATGGCGCTCAGGGCCTCTCCCCCCACCCCCACCCATCCTGGACACACCTCCCCTAACGCATCTCCCCGTCAAGGCAGACCCAGAAGCTTTTCTGATTGTTTCTCCCTGGGACCCACAGCAGGGCGCATTAGAGCCTGGCAGGCAGGGTGGGGGGCGGGGTGTTAGCATTCTCCTTTTATTGCTGTGTGACTCTGTGTGAGTGACTTCCCTTTGAGTTTCTTTCTTTCTCTGTCACTTATAGATGAGCACTGATTCCTAACCTCATTTGTTCGGGAAGACCAAATAAGGTTAATCACTTAGAACCCTGACGCGAGGCACACAGCATCAGTGGGTGTGGTCAGCACTTACGGGGAGCTGGTCAAGCCAGGAACTGACCTTGCATAGTCTTCCCAAAAAGCATGACTAAAAACCAGCGAGAGGGC